TGCCTCCAGCGCCGGGCCCGACATCTTCTCTCCCGGGGCCGCCTAGTAGTCCATGAGCCGCGCGGGGGGGGGGGAAGCGAGGCCGGGCGCCTGCCTTCCACCTCTGGGCACCTCGGGACGCTTCGCCTTAGGAACGGCCCTTTCCTCTCCAGTTTTGGGAATTGTAGTTTGTTTTTTTTTCTTTTTTTTTAACTGACCGGCAGAGACCGCTAGCGGGCAGATTCCCTGGTTGGCCCCGCCTCTCTCTTTTGCCGCCATTTTTAAAGTATCAACTGGAAACGAGTGAATGGGATCCACTGTACACTACATGGAAAAAAAGCAAGTTTACGCGCGAGGAGGAGAAGGAAGCAGCGGGTTTAGGCTGTCTGCCCGAGCGCCCCCTTCTGTCTGCCTCCGCCGGTCCCTTGCCAGCCCGGATTATAAAATGCCACAGCCGCCGCTGGGGCTGTTTTAGGGCTGCCTGCATTATTCAAAGTGGTGTTTTTTGCGTGCACTGCTGTGTATTCATACATGGGCAATGAAAACCTTATTTTCCGACCCAGTTGATGTCTTCTTGTGTCAGGGATTCAAAACGACCATTGTTTAGTTTGTATCTGGCATGCGGCAGCAACATTTGAGACAAGTGTACCTGTGTAGGTGAGATTTGATAAGCAGACAAAAATAGGAAGAAAACTCGAATATGTTCTTTGGCAAAGGAAATGTGAAGGTCCAGTGAGTTCAGAGGGACTGTGTTATATCAAACAATCAAGGAAAAGCCAGAGTTCCCAAAAGGGTGGCCAGTCAACCCTCCCAAACCCCACCCAGTTTATGAATGTGGGATATTGTGCTTCTGTATTCAAAATGCACGAGTGCAACATATACAACAGAGAAACATACACACGCTCTAAGCTCTGGGGCAAACTAATGTTGCCGTGCTTGCCCACCCTACTGTGCAGAATGCAGACTAAAAACCTATTTGTCAATTTCCAAACTCTTGCTCTACTAACATGTTGCCTGCAATTTTCCAAAATATGTCCCCTCATCTTTTGAAATTAAAAAAGGGAAGGAGGCTGGGAGTTAGCAAAAATTGTCTCTTGAAACCAAGGTTCAAATCATCCACACTATGTAAAAGATGGACAGTGAAGAAAGACTGGGTGGAGTGGGGAATCAACTCATTTGAAATGTGTTGTTGGAAGTAGGTTTTACAGATACCACAGACCACCAGAAAGGCGAATAAGTGGGTGCTCAATCAACTCAAGTCTGAACTCCCATTAGAACAAAAATGAGTCAATTGAAGCTATCCTACCTTGCACATAAAATGAGAATACAGAACTGAGTAGAAAATACAGTTGTGAGGGTTCAGGTCCGGGCTCCTGTTTTTCTCCAAATAAATCACCAGACTTGTGGGGTTTCGAAACAGGGGTAATGTTCATTGCAGTGTTTAACAGAAAAACGGTGTCACCAACAGTATTCCAACATTTCTCTCCTACCAACAACTGGTCAGAAAGAGGCTTCCACTCATCATCCTTGAAGGGATTTCCCCCTCCGGTGTTCCACAGTCCAGGCCAGTCCAAAGACAGGTTATGGCTTAATACTGTAACAGGCAGCCTTGACCTCACCTGTCCGTCACAGCTGGGGAGTGAATCATCAGCCAATGGGGTGACGGAGGGTGGGGCTGAAGAGGGAGGAGCTGGAAGAAAAAGGGGCGTGAAGGGTGTGTGGGAGTTGAGATCAGGAGTGTGTGAGAGAGAAAGAGCTTGTTTAGAGGCCTGCGTGCCTAAGTGTTCAGTGAGAGAAAGTCTGTGTTTGATTAAATAAGAAACAATGACTGACATTGTGATTAGCTACTTGTGATTTTCATATTTTATTTTGTTATTTCAATAAACCTGTTTTGTTTTGAAGGAAACCTTTGTCCTTCTTAAATAGTCATTACAATTGGTGGCAGCGAGTGTGAAGTGGTGTGGTGGGCATTCTGAGAGGCCTGAGTTGGCAGTGACATCAGAGTGGCCTGCCACGTCACAATACCTGTCCAGTCTCCCCTTCCAATAAGGGGGCGGTGTCCTCATCCCGGTTGTCCAACCAGGTGGGGTTCCGGGTAGTGTCATACGTCTGCCAGGGTCCTCCGGGTATCCCCTCATCTGGAATTCCCTCACTCTCCATTCTGTTGTTTCCCTTCTTTGCCTCTCAACTCTCTTTTCTTAATTTCCTTCTCCACTCCCTTGTCTCCTTCTCAACACAATATGGTTTGTGGGTTATCTCCCTCCTTTGATAGTCAGCCTCTTCTTTCAGGGTCCAGAGTTTCTTTCACTTTCCAGTCCATGGATCTTGCATCCGGATCCACTCCCAATCTGATGGTAATTCCCCCTCCTCCCATTTTATATCCACTAGTCCTGCCTACACTTCCACCCTCGGCTTCCGTTCCTTTCCCGCCCAATCTTCCTGGTCTCTCTGACCGTTAGTCTTTGAAAATCCTCTTCTATTGTACCTTCCCAGGGTCTGATTCCGGCAGTCCTGTCTTTCTGGGAGGGGAAATAGGCATGGTTTGAACTTCTTTCTCCGCCCTGGGCAGGAAGGCGGCACTCCGGTGAGAATGACCTTACTCTCACCTCCTGTCTTATAACAGTATTGCTGGGAAAAGTGAGTTTTAATTTTATCCATATTTTCTAATGGGTGGAGAGACTGGAGGGGCGGGGGGGGAGGAGTAGCCATTGTTTATAAATCCAGCTTGGAGGTTACTAGGGGCTCCTCGGTGGTAAAGCCGGGTCTAGAGGCACTCCACGTGTCGATTGGGGCCAGGAATGGTATTGGGATTTTGCTGGGTTACCGCGCTTCCCGTGATCCAGCCACTTCCCTTCTGGAGTTGACTGACTTTGTCTCCACGGCACTATTGGGATCCCCAAGGCTTTTGGTCTTGGGTGATTTCAACGTGCATGCGGGGGCAGAGCCATCTGGGTCAGCTCTTGAGTTCTT